GAGGAGGAGGAGGAGGAGGAGGATACCAACATGCATCAGTACGGGTCGTCGGGCGCTGAGAGGTAGGAGGATCAAGAGGGACATGAGAGGGGGAGTTCCGAAGAGGAACGCCAGAAGAATGGAGAGGAACATTCCCCCCCCTGTTCTTTCTCTGCCTCATCGCCCCGTGCCAGGTGACCGGCTTCTCAGGTGCAACGAGCTGCTCACGCACGCGGTCGAGGAGCTGGCGGCTCCCATCGCAGCCTTGGGTCTGCGCCCCCCCCCCCCTGATTACCTGCTCCCTGCTCTCTCCCCCTTCCCGCCCTCCCTCCAGTCCTCCTTCACGAAGGGGGAGGGCAGGGGGTGAGGAGGAGGATTAGTCTGGTGGTCAGAACGAGAGCGTGCCGCATTCCCGAGGAGATCGAGTCCTGCAGACACCTGTGCACCCAGTTCACCGATTCAGCGGCTGCCGCGCATCTGCCGCCCAGCTTCCCAGCAACCAGAGAGGCGATGGGCGGTTCAGGATCTCTTCTGCCCTCCTCTCTCACTCTCTTCCCCCTCTTTTCACTCTTTCTCTCTATTTCTCTCTCTCTCTCTATCCTCTCTCTCTCTCTCCCTCCCTTTTTCCCTCTCTCTCTCTCTCTTTTTTTCCTCTCTCTCTCTTTCTCTTTCTCTCTCTCTCTCTCTTTCTGTCTTACTCCCTCCTCCTCCGACGAGGAGGAGGCGGAAGAGGAGGAGGCGGAGGAGGAGGGCGGATGCGGATGCGGATGCGGATGCGGATGCGGAGGCGGAGGAGGAGGAGGAGGAGGAGGAGGAGGAGGAGGAGGAGCTGGATTTTCTGTTTCCATCATCCACCTGTCTCCTCCTGCTCTGTTCTCTCGTGCATGTGCCGATCGTGACCACCGCGACTCCATCAGTGTCTTCAAGGCCGTGCGCAGCATGAGAAGAGGGAGGACGAGAAGCAGGAGGATGGGGAGGCGGGGGGGCCCGCGGCGGGGCCGCCTGGCCGCCTCACGGGCCCGCGCCTCGGCGCGTGCTGGGGCCGGCGTGCTTCATGGTCGCCTGCGCCCTCGCCAAGGGCAAAGAGGGGGCGGCCGTCGAGGAGCGGGCTGCTGAGGCGGAGGCTCGGTGCAAGGACCCGCGGAGGGCTACTATGCGCCGCCACCGCGTCTGGCCAGAGCCGCCCTGGGCCCCAGGACGCGGTGCGATCGAAGTGTGTGCGGAGAGAGCGGGGCGAGCACCGACTGCAGTTCTCGCCCATTTTGAACAGGGCTCGCTGTCGGCGTCGCCGCGGACAATGTCCATTGGAGACCGAGTGTCGCCTGCCCAGCAGCGACCGCTGTCAGTTTGGATCATGCGTACGTGTTGTCAGACATCGTGCCCGGTTTACCGTACCCATTTCGGCAGTGCACTTGGCCGTTTTCGGCCGCTGGGGGTCCTCGCCGGGCCCTGGAACCGTGAACAAAACCACTCAGGAAGAAGAGCCGGCGCTGGGGAACAGGTCGGGACCCCAGGGGGCCCCAGATTGAAAATCTAAGGCGCCCGATTCGGGTATAGGCCTTCCTGGCTTCGGCCAGACTTGCGTACGGTAGGTTCATGCGGCGTTGGCGCGCCGGCGACGCCAGCGAAGGCGTTCAAGATCGAACGCTGTGACGCGGAAGCACCGAGGGTCGCGGTGACGCCACTGGACCCGACGGAATTCAACCTTGAACGATCGGGGCCGCGATCGGTTCAAGGTCGAGCGATCGACGCGGTGTCAAGAATCTTTGCACGTGCCGACGCCACGCGAACCTACTGTATGCATGATGCCAAGGCCCAGGGTGGCCCTGGCCAGGCGGGGTGGTGGTGGTGTATAGGTGCCTTCTGCCTACAGGAGGCGCTGCGGGAAGCCGAGGCGCGGCCCTGCAGCCTTCACTGGGATCGAGGCTCGACTTGTTTTGGGCTTTTTGGTGTGTGCCTTTTTGGGGCCCCCTTCGCCGCTGCGGCCGGACTCTCGTCGAAATTCTGGTCCGGAACGCGCCCCTGGATAGGTCCAGGGGGTCGAGCTCCGACCCCTGGGCCCAGACCCCTTCGCGTCGCTGGCAGAGTCACGTCGGGCAACTCCTCTACAGTCGGGGCGCTGAAGAAGGAACCCTTTTCGTTGGGGAGGGGCTCGGTGTTCCTCAACTGTTCCACACCTTGCCTGAGGTTTTCCTCAAGGTTTCGATGGGAAATCGAATTTTCACTTATGATGAAGAAAAAGGGGCCTCGTTCCTTATGTAGGGTTCCTTAGGCCAACGCCTCGACTCGAGCCACTCTGGGCCTCCAGGGGTTCTGCCCGGGCCCTTTGGTGCCGTCGAGGCGCGGCGCTTTGGACACGAAGCCCGTCTCCCCCGGGTGAGGTGCCGAGGCCTCCGGGGGTCTGCGCTGGAGGGTTTCTCCGAAGGGCTTAGGCGACCCGTTCTCCTCGCCCATCTCCTCCTCCTCCTTCCTTCTCCTCCTTCTCCTCCTCCTCCTCCTCCTCCTCCTCCTCCTCCATCTCCTTCTCCCCCTTCTCCTCCTCCTCCTCCTCCTCCTCCTCATTCTCCTCCTCATTCTCTCCTCCTGCTCCTCCTCCTCCTCCTCCTTCTCCTCCTCCTCTCATCCTCATCCTCCTCTCCTCCTCCTCCTCTCTTCCTCCATCTCCTTCTCCCCCTCCTCCTCCTCTCACTCCTCCTCCCTCCTCCTTCCTCCCCTATCCTCCCCCCTCCTCCTCCTCCCTCCTCCTCCTCCTCCTCCTCCTCCTCCTCCTCCTCGGGTCGCCTACTGCCCCGGGGGAAACCGTGCTGTCTGCGCTGCGAAGAAGCCACGATGTCCGGGGTCCGGGACTGGGATGGGGTCAGAGGATCGCGCCGCATCGCTGATGCATCGGCGACGTCGGCGTGGAGGGCATCGGGCTCCCCATCGAGCAGCATCGCCGCTGCATCGGCAATGCGGCGCGACCTTTCGGCCTCATATACTCCGACCCCATCTGGGAGGCCTGGGAGGCTTTTCGTTCTGTTCCCAACCATCCTGTGGTGTTGGGTCCTTGTTTTGAAGAGACAGCGCCCCGCGTCCCTCCCTCCCTCCCGCCTCCTCCTCCCGCTTCCTCCTCCTTCCTCCCATCCTTGCCTCTGCCCTCTGCAGGTTTACAATTTCGGCGCACCTCTCACACATTTCGTGGTCCCATAGGGAGCTCCACCGAAGGTCCCAGTGGCACCGTCCCCATGCGACCCCGCCACCCATTTCGGCACACCCCTCACACCTTTCGTGGCCCCGTGGGGAGCTCCACCGACGGTCCCAGTGGCACCATCCGCATCGGCCCCGCCACCCATTTCGGCACACACCTCACACGTTTTGTGACCTCATAGGGAGCTCCACCGAAGGTACCAATGGCACCGTCCGCATGTGTCCCCAACAACCATGTCTGCACACACCGCACACATTTCGAGGTCCCATAGGGAGCTCCACTGAAGGTCCCAATGGTACCGTCCCCATGCGTCCCGAACAGCCATTTTCGGCATACCCTCACACGCTTCGTGGCCCCATAGGGAGCTCCACCGAAGGTACCAGTGGCACCGCTCGCACGCGTCCCCGCCACCGATTTTCGGCACACACCTCACACGTTTGTGGCCACATAGGGAGCTTCACCGCAGGTCTCAGTGGCACCGTCCGCATGCGTCCCCGCCACCCATTCTGGCACACCCCTCGTACTTTTGTTCGTGGCCCCATAGAGGGCTCCACCGACGGTCCCAGTGGCACCGTCCGCATGTGTCCCTGGCACCCACTTCGGCACACCTCCCACACGTTTCGTGGCCGCAAAGGGAGCTCCACCGAAGACGATGCTCACAACTGTGTTATTCACAGCTGCATATGGTTTGGTTCTTCGCCAGGTGCGGAATGGCGGTAGCCCTGGATTCTTCTTCTTTGGGCCAAACATGAACAGTTCTCAATGTAAGCTCTGTCGTCGCGAGACCCTGCAGCCCTCCTCGAGGCTGCTGTGCATGCTAGCAGGCTCGTCAGCCCACCAGCTCAATTACACCGTAACTCCGCTGAGGCTGCTCAGGCTCGCGTCCTCTCGCGAGTGAAACTGAAACAGCCTCGGCATAGGGAATATCATTACCTGAACGTTCTCGCTCCTCGCAATCTCGCGCGCCACTGCCTCTGGAACTGATCAAACCCCGCGTATCTTCCCGACGTTCAAGCCTCGCTCCACCTCCCTCGGGCTTCTCGGACCTGCCGTTGAGGGTCAGTGCATCATCAGGTCACCCAAGCTTCCCTGTCCCCGGCACCGAGCGGGGTGTACTTCCCGTCGGCCTCGTGGTGAAGCTTGCTCCTGCTCTTGTATGTCACTGGACCTTGCACTCCAACTGACCTGAGCTTCTTTCTCTGCACCTCTGGCTCTGGCGAGGCATCCCGCCTTCGTCGTTTCGACGGGGATGCCTCCAGCTGCTCATCTCCATCTCGAGCAACCTCTGGTACAATGTGAAGTGGCGTAGCCCAGGTATCTGTCTCAACTCTCTTTGTCTGTCTCTGCACCCAGCACCACACACATAATAATTAAAAACAATCGCCAGTATCATAATCACCATGTGGGACAGCACACTCGACCAACTGAAACCCATCATCATGCTGACGTGGATGTTCACCTCGTCCTCGTAGTACTACTCCTTCGCGTCCGCCTGCGTGGTCAGGAGCATCGCCGCCAGCACCTCGGTCATGACCTCGGGCTCTCTGAACGTCGTCAGCCTCAGCTGAATGAGTCCCAGCGTCCTCGTGTGCCTCCTCAACGTGTCCTTGTCCATTGGTTTGGTACCTATGTCTGCCACTTGGTCCTTGGTTTTCTCCTTTGCAACCTCCTTCTTTCCGTCACGAACCAGATCTTGATGCCAGATTCATCGCTTCTGTAGATGCCGTACCCGTCCAGCTCCATGTCTGTGTATCATACCCCACGCTGCTGCAGAATCCGTCTCCAACTCCAGCATGATCTTGACCTGCTCCCTCCTCATCTCCGCCATCTCCTGCAGCACGTGCTTGATGGTGAGGCCTCTTGCCTACCTGACCCAATGGCATAGAACCCCGACTCCCCGCTTGACAACGCCACCGTCGCCTGAGACAACACCCAACCCTCCAGCAGACGCGTGCCTACGGTAGGTTCGCGTCGTGTCGACCGGCGGCGACCCCGCCGCCGACGTTCAACGTTGAACGCCGACGGCGGCCCAGAATCGGTCGATGTTGAACGATCGGACGTTGCGGAGACGGCCGATCGTTCAAGGTTGAACGATCCAGCGCGGTGTCGGGAACCAACGCTGGCGCCGGCACGACACGAACCTGCCGTACGCGAATACAACCCGACGAGTTACTCTTGCAGGTCGCCTCCTGTCCGGTCCAGTCTGCGTCCACCGGCACCTTCACCTTGAACGCCATCTCCTCACGGGGGGCTCCGCGCGCCGGCCCGGGGCCTCGCGCCGAGGGCCGCAGCACCGGTCGGCATCGCCTCGGCGGATCTGATCGAATCGAGGAGGAGGAGGATAAGGAGGAGGAGGAGGAGGAGGAGGAGGAGGAGGAGGAGGAGGAGGAGGAGGAGGAGGAGGAGGAGGAAGAGGAGGAGGAGGAGGAGGAGGAGGAGGAGGGAGAGGAGGAGGAGGCCGTACCCTTCAGGTGCCTCACCAAGCGCTTCTGCTTCAGGATGTGCTCCGCCCTCGGGTCGTTGCACGAGCAGCTCTGCTCTCGAATAGCTTCTTGAGTGTCACAGAGCTCCGCCTTGATACTGGATCCCCTGCTTCTCGAGCAGGATACCGAAACCCTCCTCGCTCCACATCACCGTCCTGTTGAGAAACGTTCATTCAACTGCTCCTCCAGGTCCAACTCGCGGTTGAGGCTTCACTTTGAATCGATTGGCCATGATCTCATCGAACTTGTCCAGCTCCTCATCATAGGCCTCCACAGCGAAGTCATCCCCATGACCAGCACACAGAGACTCGATCCCAGGGATGCAATACAAGCAGCACGCCGTCTTCAACTCCATGTACCCGTTCTGCATGAATGTGTCTCTCGCCTCGCCTTGGAATAGCATCGACGCCTCTGGCGTCCCATACATCGCCTTCTGTAGCTTCCAGCGCATCCCAGGTCGACGCTGCTCAGGCGGTGGCTAGCAATGCTGTGGCTCCTTTAGCGAGGCGTGGAAGAGAGCAACTGAAACGTCGTAGAGCCCGAGCTTCTTCCTCCGATTCTCCTTCGGACTAAACTACGCTGCCCTCGAGGTACCATCTTCACCGCCCACAGAGCTGGTGTACCCGCGAAATTCAGCGGGGCCAGTCCTGTCACTATGTCTCCTGTGGACGCATCGACTTCTCACGATCCATTCGCTGTTCTGAAGGTCGCACTTCTTGCTATCAATCCACTTGGTGCCAAACAGCTGCATCTACTCCTCCAACTCAACCCACTCGAACACCTCGAACTTCTTCAGGCTCTTCATCTTCTTGGTCCTCCCCTCGATGACCCTGTCCTTCCGTAGCTCCTCGCCTGTGTACGCGTCCCTGTAGACTCTATCTCCCGCCAGCTTCTCGTAATTCACTCTCGGCTCGATCTCCTCGTAGACGTGTCTGTCCTCCTCTGCACCCCGGGCTCCGCCTGCTCCGGCTGCCTGAGGCCCCGCCTTCCTGTGCCCTTTCTCCCTAATTAAAACTGTGCGTAGCCCGCCTAGCTTTTCGCGGAAGAGGTTCGCTCTCGCCCCGCAGACCAAAAGTGTCTGTCCTCCTCTCTCGTGATCGCTATCAGAATACCTACCTCCATGTTTTGGTCCTCCATTCTTGGCGTGGTGGGTGCTAGGTCTCCTCCAGCAACGATCGCCACACCGCTCATCTCCGCGTCTTCCACCATCGGATCACGGCCAAAGTGATGTCCCACCGGCGTTCCAGGTGCTCGTAGCCATGCATTTGTTAGCGTCGGTTCTTGTACCCTGCGGCTTGATCTGGGTTCGCTGGAATCGCCATCCCTATCCTCGGCTCGGCCTCGTCAAAGATCTTGGCGAACCTCGTCCTGCACCTCGCGTTGTGGATAGCCGAGGTACCCTCGCATGCTACACAGCCATCTGTTGGACCATGCTCCTCGATCAACGACTTCGTGATGTACCTCCATCGTCGCACTACCTCGTTCTGGTCCTTCACCTCCAGGCCTCTCGAATTCCACGGTACACCGATTAACGTGTTGTACATCTCCTTGCTATATGTGTCCTCAGCGCTCCTCAGCTTCATCGTCCTGGCATGTTCGATCCCGCGGACAGTCCCTACGATGATCTCGTCATTCTCGTCACGCCTGCCAAGGAAAAGCCCTTCACTCCACCTCGGCTCCAACTTCGGGTAGTCCTTCGCTTGGATCTTGTAGTCTATCGTCTCTCCGATCTTGCCCAACTCCGATTTGTACTTTGCTCGTCCCAGTCGTTCCCATGCTGTCCTGCCGTCCGTCTTGATCGCAAACCTCGTAAGCAAGAACTCCACGTGTCTAACCAGCCAGGGCATGATTAAGCTTTTGGGACCTATCTTCACCTTCAGGTTGAACTCCAGCTCGGTGTGTAGTGTCCGTAGTAAAGGCTCCACGCGCTCCACGGCATTCTCGATCGTCCCATTACTCTGGTGAGAACCTTTCGGCGACTTCTCCACCTGCGTGCTGTACTCCCTCCTGTTCTTGACCGCCATGATCACCGCCTGCAGCGATGCCTCCTGGTCACCTTTGAGCATGATGTCTTCTGAGCCCCACACGTATACGTAGAACTCCACCGCTGAATTGACATATTCGCTCGACCCCCTGTGCACGACCGTGATCGACGCTACCAGGTCCTCGGGTTTCTGAACCATAACCAGGTTCGTCACCATCACCGTTTCCAATTCGGTGTTCATGCAACAGTCGTCCGTGCTGATGACGGCGCCTCCGCTGGGTTCGCTGCCTTATGGGCCTGCTCCTTGCGGCGTCCCCAAAGCACCATTTGCACCAGTCTCTGAACGGCATGCGCGTGCGCTCGTGTATGGCAACCTCTTAAGCGGTCGGCTTGTGTCTATCCTTCTCTGTCTTCGGTCGCTGGGCCTCTTCACTATCTTCTACCTGAGGTGGTTCAGCTATCCCTTGGTCAACTAGGTACGTCGAGACTGTAGTTCCCACGCCTCTTGGTCAACTTGACTGGCTTCGTCTTCCGCTTAGAGTCGATCACCCACTTGAACTTCTCGGCTCCGCCTTCATCATCACACCAAACTTCCTGCGAACCCTTTGTAATGTCACTCAACGCAATGACTATCTTGTGAACGTCTCGTACAGCAAATTGACCTTGTACCATTTGACCAGTGTCTGCAACCTGCATACGTACCATCTTACGCTCGTCGGCGTAAGGTCTGGTACCACCAGCCCGTCGCAAAGGTGGTGCACCTCCTTCTTCTCGTGCTATCTGTGGTGCAGGACTCAGTGGGCATACACTTCTCGCCGCACATGAATCGACCATCACCTCGATCTTCCCGTCGTCTGTCTGCGAGCCTTGCTCGTCGATAGGAGTCAGGTAGCTCTCGTCATTCTCGTCCTTGTCGTTGTTGGGCTCCTCCTCGTGGGCCTTCTCCTCGTCCTCGCTGTCGCCCTTGGCTATCATGAGGACGTAATCCTCCTCGGCGTATTAGTCGTTGCCCAGGTACTTCATGTCTCCGTCCGTGCTCTTGTCAGCTGGCTGGTCCGATCGCGACTTGTCTCTATGATCTTTGCCTTTGCCTTTTCCTTTGCTTATCGTGCGCAGGTGTTCCTTTGGGATCTTGCCGTTCTTCATGTCTTGCGTAGCTTTCCTGCACTCCATCAGCTTGTGACCCTTCTTCCCCGCAGTACTTGCCCGGGTAGTCCTTCTCTTGGATCTTGTAGTCTATCGTCTCTCCGATCTTGCCCAACTCCGATTTGTATTTTGCTCGTCCCAGTCGCTCCGATGGTGTCCTGCCGTTCGTCTTGGTCACAAACCTCGTAAACAAGATCCCCACGTCTCTAACCAGCCAGGGCATGATCAAACTTTTGGGACCTATCTTCACCTTCAGGTTGAACTCCAGCTCGGTGTGTAGTGTCCGTAGTAAAGGCTCCACGCGCTCCACGGCATTCTCGATCGTCCCATTACTCTGGTGAGAACCTTTCGGCGACTTCTCCACCTGCGTGCTGTGCTTGCTCCTGTTCTTGACCGCCATGATCACCGCCTGCAGCGATGCCTCCTGGTCACCTTTGAGCATGATGTCTTCTGATCCCCACACGTATACGTAGAACTCCACCGCTGAATTGAGATATTCGCTCGACCCCCTGTGCACGACCGTGATCGACGCTACCAGGTCCTCGGGCTTCTGAACCATAACCAGGTTCGTCACCATCACCGTTTCCAACAGTGGTCCGTGCTGATGACGGCGCCTCCGCTGGGTTCGCTGCCTTATGGGCCTGCTCCTTGCGGCGTCCCCAAAGCATCATTTGCACCAGTTTCTGAACGGCATGTGCGTGCGCTCGTGTATGGCAACCTCTTCAGCGGTCGGCTTGTGTCTATCCTTATCTGTCTTCGGTCGCTGGGCCTCTTCACTATCTTCTGTCTGAGGTGGTTCAGCTATCTCTTCTTCGCCCAGTGGGCAAAGCGTGTTCGCGTCCACGTCGAGACTGTAGTTCCCACGCCTCTTGGTCAACTTGAGTGGCTTCGTCTTCCGCTTAGAGTCGATCACCCACTTGATCTTCTCACTCAACTCCTTGCTCACTACGGCTCCGTCTTCATCATCGCACCAAACTCCCTGCGAACCCTTTGTAATGTCACTCACCGCAATGACTATCTTGTGAACGTCTCGTATAGCAAATTGACCTTGTACCATTTGACCAGTGTCCGCATCTTGCATACGAACCGTCTTGCGCTCGTCGGCGTAAGGTCTGGTACCACCAGCCCTTCGCAGAGGTGGTGCACCTCCTTCTTCTCGTGCTATCTGTGGTGCAGGACTCAGTGGGCATACACTTCTCGCCGCACATGAATCGACCATCACCTCGATCTTCCCGTCGTCTGTCTGCGAGCCTTGCTCGTCGATAGGAATCAGGTAGCTCTCGTCATTCTCGTCCTTGTCGTTGTTGGGCTCCTCCTCGTGGGCCTTCTCCTCGTCCTCGCTGTCGCCCTTGGCTATCATGAGGACGTAATCCTCCTCGGCGTATTAGTCGTTGCCCGGGTACTTCATGTCTCCGTCCTTGCTCTTGTCAGCTGGCTGGTCCGATCGCGACTTGTCTCTATGATCTTTGCCTTTGCCTTTTCCTTTGCTTATCGTGCGCAGGTGTTCCTTTGTGATTTTGCCGTTCTTCATGTCTTGCGTAGCTTTCCTGCACTCCATCAGCTTGTGACCCTTCTTCCCGCAATACTTGCACGGCACACTCGTGGTTGGTGTGCCTTTCTTTTCGCCTGTCTTACTTGTCTTACTCTTCCCATGTTTGCCTTTGTCGTCCTTTTCTTTACCCCCGAACGTGAGAGCGTCTAAGTCCATCGGGGCTGGACCGCTCACTGCCAGCGCCGCCTGCTTCGATCTCAGATAGTTCAGCATCTCAGCTCTCACCAGCGCGTAGTACGTCGTGAACCGAGTAGCGTTCAACATGAGATGCTCTTCCAGCTTCTGCGGCACCGGCCTGGTGCTCAGCACCGACTTCCTGATTCGACGGGACCTTCGGGTCTGAGCCCGTGCCCTTTCGACGGATCCATCCGCTGCTGCGCCTGCTGCACCTTCTGCTGCTGTTGCTGCTGCTGCTCTGGCATTTTGGCGTCTCGGGTTTGTCTCTCCAGCTCCCGTATCTGATTCCTCTGCTGAACCACAACTCCTTCCATCGCCTCTGTTCTCTGCAACAGCTCCTCTGCTGTGGCCATCGCGGCGTACGAGAACCGGGGACTGGCCGTGGGAACGACCAGGCTCCGTTACCATGCGGAGTGGCGGTAGCCTTGGATTCTTTTCTTTAGGCCAAACGTCAACAGTTCTGAAAGTAAGCTCCGTCGTCGTGAGGCCCTGCACCAGGCTAATTTTTTCTTCTAGAGGTTTCGGGGCCCGAGGATGTCTCCCGTCGTCAGCTGCCCCTTGTTGAGAGCCTGGCGGGGATCCGAGGCTCATGCCAGGCTGCCGCCGGGGGCCCGAATTTTGGTCCAGAGGCCGACCAGACGGGGGAGGACCTTTGCATCAGGCCACTGGCTTCAGTAAAATCACCTGGCTGGTGCATTCAGAATGTGTGCTGTATTCCTGCTGGCGCAAGCTGTGAAGTGAACATCTGGGTCAAACAAGCCTGCGTCCCAGTGTACCGACATTTTTCCCAGGACGCGTGCCCGAGTGCAGTTGATCACCTCGAGGTCGATCGGACGGTCTGACCCAGCATTGAGACGCATAATCCTCGGCCGACTTTGGCTGGGGCTGGCAAGCGGTCCAGCCATTTGTTCGGCTAGGGCAGCGGATCACATTGGTTGATTATCAGCGGCATGATAGATGCAGCGTGGCAGCAGCGAACAATCTTCTTCCTCTTCGTTCTCCTTTCCTCCTCTGTGTGTTCCTCTTTTCCAATTTTCCTCTTCCTCTCCCTCTTTCTCTTCCTCATCTTTGCCTTCTTCCCATTCCTCCTCCAGATCCTCCCCCTCCTTCTCCTTCTCCTCCTCCTCCTCCTCCTCCTCCTCCTCCTCCTCCTCCTCCTCCTCCTCCTCCTCCTCCTCCTCCTCCTCCCCCATGTCTCCGGCAGGCTGGAGGTCTCATCCCAGAGGCTCCCAGAGGTGGCCGGAGCCCCAGAACGGGCCAGCGACGTCCACCACCTCAAGCACGTGTCCAGCGCCTCCATCCTCGGCCTTCGAGCCCGGATCTCGCCCTCGACTCTGCCACTGCTCACGTGCTCCTGCCTCCCCCAGGGCTGTCCGCGGCCCGGCCCGGTCGGCTGCGCCGCAGTCGGCCACCGCCCGGTGGGTTTGCCTCGGCCCGTCGTTTGGGTCGCTGCGCCCCTCCAGGCGGCGCTCGGCCGCTCGGCCTCGGCCGCTCGTCGGTCTCGCCGCCAGTGCGGTCGCTCGTCGGTCCTGGTGCCGCAGCGGATCCAGAAGAAAAGGGATCAACCATAGATTTGGAGGAGGAGGAGGAGGAGGAGGAGGAGGAGGGAGGAGGAGAAGGAGGTGGAGGGAGGAGGAGTGAGAGAAAGGAAGGAGGGAGGATGAGGAGGAAGAGGAGAGGAGGAGGGAGGAGGAGGACGAGGGGAGGACGAGGGGAAGGAGGGGAGGAGAGGAGGAGAGGAGGGAGGAGGAGGAGGAGGAGGAGGAGGAGGAGGAGGAGGAGGAGGAGGAGGAGGAGCACGCGGATTTCTTGGATGGGCATGAGGCCGCCCTCCCTGGCGCGCGGAGCGCGCCAGGGGCGGTGCCAGAGGCTCTGCCATGGGGTAGTTCAACGTCGATCCAAGACATCCGCGCAGACCTCCTACACTTTGTTCATGCTCATTCCGTGTTTTTACCTCGCTTCGCTGTGCCCCCTCAGTTTTTTCCTCCTCCCCCTCGCACATTGCACTGGCACAGAGACTCTGCGCAGCAACGCTGCATGATGAGTCAACACTGATCCTTGTCACCTCTTGTTCCCTTGGAGTGAGCTCGCCCATCCCGCCCAGTCGAGTGAACGAGCAAGCGAGGAGGAGGAGGAGGAGGAGGAGGAGGAGGAGGAGGAGAGGAGGAGGAGGAGGAGGAGGAGGAGGAGGAGGAGGAGGAGGAGGAGGAGGAGGAGGAGGAGGAGGAGCGGAGGAGGAGGAGGAGGAGGAGGAGCGGAGGAGGAGGCGGAGGCGGAGGCGGAGGCGGAGGCGGAGGCGGAGGAGGAGGCGGAGGCGGAGGCGGAGGCGGAGGCGGAGGCGGAGGCGGAGGAGGAGGAGGAGGAGGAGGAGGAGGAGGAGGAGGAGGAGGAGGAGGAGGAGGAGGAGGCGGAGGAGGAGGAGGAGGAGGAGGAGGAGGAGGAGGAATAATAATAACAATAATAATAATAATATTATTATTAATAATAATAATAAGAATAAGAAGAAACATACGAATAAGACGAATAATCATAATACGAATAAGCAGAAGCAGAAGCATAAGCAGCATAATAATAAGAAGAAGAATCATAATAAGAAGAATAATATGAAGGATAAGAATAAAAATACTAATAATAATAAGAAGAATAATAGGAATAATAACAATAATAAGAACAATAAGAATAATAATAAGAAGAAGAATAAGAAGAATATTAATAAGAAGAAAAAAAATAATACTAAGAAGAATACGAATAATAAGAATAAGACGAATACTACTAAGAAGAAGAAGAATAATAATAAACATAATAATAATAACAATAATAATAACAATAAGAATAATAATAAGAATACTAGTAATAATAATAAGAAGAAGAACAGGAATAATAATAATAAGAAGAATAATAAGAAGAATAATACGAAGAAGAAGAATAACAAGAATAATCATAAGAAGAAGAAGAAGAAGAAGAAGAAGAAGAAGAAGAAGAAGAAGAAGAAAAAGAAGAAGAATAATAATAAGGATAATAATAATAATACTAATAATAAGAATAATAATAATAAGAAGAAGAATAATAATAAGAAGAAGAAGAAGAAGAGGAGGAGGAGGAGGAGGAGGAGGAGGAGGGGGGAGGAGGGGGGAGGAGGAGGGAAGGAGGAGGAGGAGGAGGAGGAGGAGGAGGAGGAGGAGGAGGAGGAGGAGGAGGACACGGCACGGCGCGCGGCGCGCGGGCACGACACGGCACCATGCGCAGGCGCGGCGCGCGGGCACGGCACGGCACCACGGGCACTGCATGGCATGCGCGTGGCACGGGCACGGCGCGCCACGGCACGCGGGCACGGCAGCGCCGTCCCGCAGGCGGCCGAGAGGGCGGAGGCTGGCGCCCTCTCCGCGGGGGCGCGGCTGCGGGAGAGCGAGGGCGGGCCGGAGGCGCGGAGGGGCCGCTCGGGCCTCGCGGGGGGGGGGGGGGCGGCGCAGCTCCGGCGCTGCAGGGGGCGGGGGCGAACCCTCCACAGGAGGAGTTTTCGAAGCTTCGCAGAGAGATGGTCTTGGGGGAGGTTTCCGTGCTCTTCTGACAGCCATGTCGCCGACGATGTTTTTTACAGTTCTCTTCTGGAGTCTGCCTGCAGGAGGACGTGCCGGACCTCAGCAAGCCCTCGAACTCCACCTTCCCAGCGTTCCGCGCGGCAGGTGCAGCGCAGCGGCGACCGCCGCCGCGGCCGCAGCAGCGGCTGCTGCGGCGACACGGCGGCACTTGCCGTGCGGAAGGCTCGGAAGGTGGAGATCAAGGGGGGGGTCCCAGAAATGGGACAAATTACCAGCATTTTGTGCATATTCCAACCGTTCATCGGAATTCGGGCCTCTTTTGGTATAGTCCCAACCAAGGAAGGCATCGTTCTTCCTACCATTGCGAGATTTTCATGAGTTTTTTTACGACATCTTGGAGAGACCCTTGAAAGTTCTTGCAGAGATTATTCAGAGATCCTTCAGAGGGCATTCTGAGACCCGCCAGATATCCCTACGGTATCCTTCAAAGATCTGTGATGTATCCTTTGATATTTCTTTGAGAGATGGTTGCTGGATCCATCAGAGTTCCTTTACAGACCTGCATATTACCATGAAGAGGTCCTGAACATATTCGTAAGAACTGCCTGATCATATCACTGTCATATAGGCTATAACCTTAAGATCCTTGCCATATTTCTTTCCAAGATCCAGGACTCAGCCTGCATAGTTGCTTGAGACATGCCCCAGAGACCTATCAGAGATTTCCCAGAGATTCTTCAGATATCCGTCGCACATCCTTCGGATATCTGTCAGAATTTCTTGAGGGATCCGTCACAGATTCTTGCGAGATCCTTCACATATATTTCAGAAGTCCTTACGAGACCCTCCACATGCCGTTCAGATATTTGCTGGGTATCTTGAAGGGATCCTTGAGAGATCCTTCAGATATCCTTGAGAGGTCCTTCGAATATCTTCCGTACGCTACTACCACCATTACCAAGCTGCCTGCGGCAAGTCCTGCCACCCGCCAGAGAGCACGGAGGTCCCAACGTGGGACATTTTGTATCTTTGGTCTTCGACGAGTCGTAACAAGTGGCGCGCTTTCCGTGGGGCCGTCTTGGAGGGTTCTGGGAGCAAGGTGTTGGACTCCGTCACGTATGACACCTCGGCTGCTTGGGGTTCTGATACGTATGACACCTCGGTGCTTGGGTTCTAGAAGCCCTTCAGGGGCGATGCTGATGATGCTGCTGCTGACGATGATGCTGCTGCTGCTGACGATGATGATGACGATGATGATGATGCTGATGATGATCATGGCTGGTGACGATGACGATGATGATGATGATGATGATGGTGGTGGTGGTGGTGGTGGTGATGATGATGATGATGATGTTGAGAATGATGATAATGTCGGGATGTTGATGGTACTGGGGATGCTGATGGTAGATGCTGGTGATGATGAGGATGATGATGATGGTCGTGGTGGTGGTGGCGATGGTGATGGTGATGATGATGCTGCTGATTCTGACGATGACAACGATAACGATGTCAATGATGATGATGACGATGGCGATGACGACGATGATGATGATGACGATGACGATGATGGTGATTATGATGATGATGATGATGATGATGATGATGATGATGATGATGATGATGATGATGCTGCTGCTGATGATGATGATGATGATGATGATGATGATGATGATGGTGGTGGTGGTGGTGGTGGTGATGATGATGGTGCTCATGATGGTGGTGGTGGTGGTGATTATGATTATGACGATGATGATGATGATGATGATGATGATGATGATGATGCTGATGGTGGTGATGATGACGATCATGGTAGTGGTGGTGATGATTACGATGACGATGACGATGATGAGACGGAAGAGAAAGAGGAGGAGGAGGAGGAGGAGGATGACGACGATGAGGAGGAGGAGGAAGAGGAGGAGGAGGACCAGTGTAAACCCAAGACTCACCAACGATGTTGCAATACACCCTTCCTCCAGGCTCCCTGTTCATAGGCTTCCATGGGGAATTATCTCAACGACGGGAAGAGCCCCGTTGGAAGACAGCCTTCTGAGAATCTTCAACTGTGCCAAAGCACCATTCCTGGGACAACAACGCCGCGAGTCAACGTTACTGTTGCGACCTGACGATCTTTCACCGTGCCAGAACACAATTTCTGGGACGTCAGCCGCAAACCAACGTGACTATCGCGCCCCAACTATCCAAAGTCGTGCCAGACTGCATTTTCTGGGACGCCAGCCAAGAACATCTGGTACAACCTTGTGCCGTGGGACTCCCATGGGCCACTCTCTTGGCTCATTTTTAATGACTATCTCTCTCTCTCTCTCTCTTTCTTTTCCTCTTCTCTCTCTCCCTCTCTCTCTCTCTTTCTCTCTTTCCCCCCCTCTCTCTTTCTCTATTTCTCTCTCTCTCTGTCTGTCCCATGCCAACTATGTGAACTGGTAAGACGACGGTGCGCGGCGCTGAGGCGAGAGCCACATTTTGAGAAGGAGCCGCCTCCATCCGTCGAACCCGTGCAGGCTTGTAACGCCAATGTTCGAGGCGTTACGGCGGGAGCCACATCTTGAAAACGGCCCGCCCTCCATCCGTGACTCTGGCAACCCGTGACAACGAAAGTGCGCGGCGCCATGGCGAAAGCCACGTTTTATCAGCGACCCGCCCTCCATCCGTGAACGCGCTGCGAATGTCAAGCTTCAGGATGATACATGGTGGGGAAGTCTCAGGCGAAACGCCCGGCCCGCCCTGCCGATCCGTTTCACGGTGCGACATGTATAATCTTCTTATAAGGACGAGGATTTTATGATGATGATGGTGATATTGATGATGATGATGATGATGATGATGATGATGATGATGATGATGATGATGCTGCTGCTGCTGCTGCTGCTGCTGCTGGTGGTGGTGGTGGTGGTGGTGGTGGTGGTGGTGGTGATGATGATGATGATGATGGTGATGATGATGATGATGAGGAGGAGGAGGAGGAGGAGGAGGAGGAGGAGGAGGAGGAGGCGGAAGAGGAGGAGGAGGTGAGGAGGAGTTTGAGGACGAACGCCGTCACATCTGACACCTTTCGTCTGTACGTTTTGAGGAGCCCTCATGGGCCTCATTTGGGCAGTCTGGGAGCCTCGTTCGAGCCTCTCGGGGACGCTTTGGGGCCTCTTGGGAGCCTCTTTTGGGCCTCTTGGGGTCTCCCGGGGGCCCCTTCGGGCGGAAGGCTCGAATTGTCGGGGTCCGTTTTCCCCCTCTTGGGCCCTTCTTGGGGCCGTCTGCGGGCACGCTTGGGCCGTCTCCGGCGCCCCTTTGGGCTGCTTTGGAGCCCTCCGGGGCCGTCTCGGGCCCGGACCGTCGGCCGACGCGCCCCCGCTCCTGCGGACGGCCTCCGGAGCGGGATCCCCCTTCCTAGAAAGGGGGGTCCTTGGCCACGCAGCCTCCCGCGCAAGCCCGGCCCCGCCCGCCGGGGGCCCCGGGGCCGTGGGGCGCGCTGCTCCCTCGCCCTGCCGCCGTCGTCGCTGCCGCCGTGCCGCCGCCGTCGCTGTGGCTGTCGGTTGTCCGTCGTCCTCCGTTCCGCTGAGGAGGAGGAGGAGGAGGAGGAGGAGGAGGAGGAGGAGGAGGAGGAGGAGGAGGAGGAGGAGGAGGAGGAGGAGGAGGAGCCCGCCGGCCCGTGTGCGCGGGGCACCCCTGAGCCGCCCGCCCGTCCCTGTTTTCCTTCGGCCGCGTCCCTCTCCCTCCTCTTTCTTGCCTGGTGGCACACTTCGCTCTGACGGCATCCCCGTTCAAGCTTTTCTCATCGCCAGCGCAGTCGCCCTCTGCCCGGCCGCCGACGCAGGAGTGAGTGAGTGGCATCTGGTTCCTGGGCGCCCAGATGTGGCGCCCAGGGCCTCACGGTGCCAATGTTGATGGCTGAGTCGCATCGCGAGAAAAAGAAAGGCGTCTATTTTTGGGCCTCCTGGGGCCTGCTGGGGGCTCCTTGGGGTGGAAGGCTCGAATTGTGGGTTCGTGTTCCCCCTCGTGAGCCCTCCTCTGGGCTGTCTGGGGGCCCTCTTGGGCCGCCTGGGGCGCCTCTTGGGCCGTCTTGGAGCCCTCTTGGGCCGTCTTGGAGCTCTCTCGGGGTCCTCTTGTGCAGTCTCGGGGCAATCTTGGGGGCTTCTTGGGCCGTCTTGGAGCGTCGGAAGCTCGATAAGGCGAGAACCCCCAACAAAAATTTAGCAACTTTGGGGACACTCGTGATTTTTGCCTTTCGGGGCCTTCTTGGGGGCCTCTTGGTGGCCTCTTTTGGCCGTCCTGGGGCCTCCTGGGGCAGAAGGCTCGAATTGTCGGTTCGTGTTCTCCTTGTTGGATCGTCCTGGAGCCCTCTTTGGGCTGTCTTGGGGCCGTCTTGGGGCAGTCTTGGGGGGCCTCTTGGGTCGTCTTGGGACGTCGGACGCTCGAAAATGCGAGAACCCCGAGACCATGGCAAAACCTAAGTAACAACAGTGATTCTACAGGCTTGCGCCACATCTGCCGGCCTCCTTAACTGTAGTTTGTTCTCTATGGTCTTTGGGTGCGTCCAGGGTGATGTGATTATGCTGTGCTGGTGATGATGGTGATAGTGATGCTGTCGATGAAAACGAGGGGGAGGTGGTGGAGCCTGGAGGAGTACAGAGGGATGAGAGAGATGCTCCCTACGTGGGTCCAGAGATCCTCAACAATGAGTGAAATCAAGTGGACGCGAGAGGCAAGCAATCGCAAACGGAAGGCAGAAGCGGACACGAAACCGCTGACGCGCGCGGCTTGCAGGGACATTTTCGCGGACGCTAAACACTTAAGAAGGGGCACGCGGAAAAACATCGAACGACGAAGCAGCAGCGCGTGGTGTGCGCGGATTGCACGAACCTAGGTTTCACGGT